AAGTGGCGTGGAAGCCCAAATAGCGTTTACGCTGTTCAATCTGGCGACTAGGCTTTTGAATGGTTGCCATGACAAACTCGTCGAAGAGGCGGAAGCCCGCACGAGGGGCGACTTCCAGGTCGAAAAGGGCATGCCAGTTTCGGTGCGGTGCCCCAGGTCGACACTTCCCATGAGGTCGGACCTGGATTGGTCTCACGCCGGTCGTAAGAGTGATCTTGGCGAAGACCAACTCAGTATCGATCGCCCTGGAGCCGCTCTCTGTAATTATACTTACAGATACGTTCGGTATCTGTAAGGCTACAAGATCTGAAGATGCCTCGAGTTTGGCGTTTTCACTCGCCAGCTTCGAAGAGCAATCTAGCATCTCTTGTCGTGTTTTTTCGTCCTTTGCTAGCATAGCAAAGCCGGACCTCACTCGATGAAGTGAGGTTATTTTATCGTGAAAGAAAAGGAATCTCATCTCCAATTTGCTTCTCACGCAACTTGTGGACAGTTTTCGCCACGAGTGGTCCTTTTCAAGACGAAGGAACAGTCGCTTGTCGACTTTCGCCTTGGGGTTTTCTTTTTGGTGGGCTTTGGCCGCTGGTCGCGGCATAGCCTTGGCAGTAGGGACTTCTTTTTATCGCAGTCCGTGTCTGGCCACCGTGGCCCAGGTGCTTTTGACGGGCAGAGCTGGGACGGTGGGTATAGTTTGGCTCCTGGCGTCGGGAGCCCTTGGGAGAGGGTTCGTCGGGCGAGGAGGGAGGACGGGTGGCGTAGTGGCCGGGCCCGTGGCCATGTTTTGCGCAATGGCGGCGCGTAGGTAGACTCTCATGGAGTCTACGAATTGTCTATTTGACCCGTTAGTCAAAGGGAGGAGGGTGGCTTCGACGCCAGAGATGGCGGCGGAGCAGAGGGTCAGATTTGCCGCTGTTTCGGCGGCGCGTCGTTTTTCAGCTTCGACTACTGGTCGGAGCTCGAGGGGACACTCTGCTTTCGTGGCAGCTTTTGGCTGCGACGTTGATGTTGACGCTGCTATGGGTGCAGAGTTTTCCGACGGTTTTGGGGTGGTCGGAGGTGGTTTGGACGATTCTCCAATCCCGTGGGGGACGGAGGGTCGCTGAGGGATCTCCTCAACAATTTCGACTGACCCGATCATGTCAGTACTGGGTTTAGTGACGGCGGGGAGGGCTTTTTCTTTCCCTTTGATTGTGACCTTGCTCATCTCCGCGCATTTCGGAGACTGGGCAAGGCCAAGTACTTGATCGAGAGCCCTCGGGTGGACTCTCGTGTTGTCCAACTTGGCGTTGGGACGCTTTTTTCGAACAGGTGGCATGCTGAAAATGCCAGTGACTCGATCACAATTTTTGATAGAATGCGACGAGCGCGAAAGGGAGGGAGAGGGGGAAAGGGTGAAGATTCGAAATTTCGAATTTCAAAAAATTGGTTGTTTTGTGAGCTGGCACGACGTTGATATAAATAAATAAATAAATCAAAGACAAGAAAACAGTTAGACTGATGATGAATATTAGAGTCACATATCCAAATCCACCAAAACCTTAGCAGGGCAAGGAGTAGCATTGCCACACAAGTAAGAAGCGAGCACATTGGGCTCAATGCTTACTTACACAGAAGGAACGTGCCACGAGTAGGAAAACCATGCTGCCAGTGTGGATATCCGTCCCAAAATATAAAGCACATGGTGATTTCTTGTCCAAGATGGCAAAGGGGCGAGGTGAGCTGCTACGAAAATCGACAACTCGATCTTTCGAAGCTATGGTAAATAACGTCAGAACTATGACAAGAATTGCACAGTGGATTCAAATGGAAGGATGGCTAGAGCAGTTTCGGATGACCGGGGAAATCGAGGCGTTAATTAGTCGAAGAGAGGAAAATGGGTACACAGGACAAGGATGGAATCCACACTAGCAACAAAAGTGTGAGTGCACTTCCTAGAGGTAAGACAATAATCGCGCAGAGTCAAGTCATACAGCTAAGGGGGTTTTTACCGCAAGGTTTCCTCCTATGTGAATATTAGAGTTCGTAGACACCTTGTTGTGTTATCCATGTAGCTTACCATGGTACCTGCTTTAGGTCGCGTCATAGCATATGCACGTGACTGTGGAACTAAACCGTGTGGTGTTTGGTGTGTAATGCATGTGTGGGTATACTGGACCAAACTAGAACTCGATAGAATAGAGATAATGGAATCAGCGAGAGACTGATAGACTGAGAGAGAACGAGCTGGTCATTTCTCGTAGGAGAGAAATGATATCATAAGGGAATGTTCTAGCATTAGGCTGTGAACAACACAGTAAGTCTGGAGCAAGATATAATGAGGTCTCAGCCTCTATCCGTTTATTGTAGCCAAGTTTCCTTTATATGAGGATATAGAGTCAAGTCTTACATATCACGAGAACACACGAGATAGTGATTATAGAGACCCACTGTGAGCATAACTTCCCAAAGAGTGTCCATCGTCCTGCTCCTATGTAGCCTGGTTAATATAACACACCTGCATGGGCCCATAGGGCGACAAATCAGGCTAATTGAAATCAAATTCAAGTAAATAAATAAATGCCCCGTACGAACCTCCAGCTCTCACTGTAGAGTCTACAGAGCCGAGATTGAGTAACAAGGTCCCCACTTCGACGAGGATTCCCAATCGCTTTCGCCGTCTATATCGTCTTCATCCTCAACACATCCCCCCATCACCACTTCCATGAAGCTAACCTCGATTAGATCAGATGTTAAGGTCGAGACCCTTCTCATCACCAACCCTTGATCATGGAGGAGATGCCATCCGATGAGATTCCGGAGCGTACCTAGCACCCGATACGGAGATGGTGGATTGGATCAAGTCGGCCTCTAATGTTATAAAGAAGGGAGATATAGATGAATTTGCGCACCTCATGGGGTCCCGGTGTCTAGGCCTCACCTGGCTGGGGCTGCAGGTTTTTTGGAGACTTTTTCCTGCGCACGCAGTTTCCATCGCTACCATTTATTTTTTGGGTAGAAGGTTCCGTGGAAAAGGTGGCCGAATTCCACGGACAAATACTGAGCTGAATGGCTATTCATCAGGGGGAATAGATCAATGATCTTTCAAGTAACAAAAGAGGATAGGAGCACTCTACAAGGTGTGGCCTGGGTTAGAGAGGGGCCTAATGTGCTAGATAGTCATAGACTCAAGTAGTGTAATAAAAAACACACACACTATGTCAACTAGTTTAATTTCATTTAATTTAAACTGTCTCTTGACTTGTATGTTTTTGGTTTTATTTTATCGTCGTGCCAGCTCTTAAGAAAGATACGTTGGACACGTTATTGAGTTGTAAATGTTGACTAGAGAGCTCTACAGCTACAGATGAAGACTATGTACTGTTAGTCAGGTCATGTGACCTAACAAGCTCAGTATACATGAGTAGGTGGAATAGTTCGCCTTGATTTTTTCAGATTTATATTTATATTTTTTATTACAGTCCCTACTGAGTCTAAGACTATGGAGGACTTTGTGAATCTAACTAAAGATTCTAATTACATTTGAGAAATTTAATTTTGAAATATGCTAAAATTTTTTCTTATAGATATTGAGAGATAAGCCCTTGTATTCCCCTTGACACCAGCTCACAAACAGATTTAGAATATCGTTCCAGACTAGCTTGTTTACGGCGAACTCGTCGTGTGCTTGTGAGGTGATCTACAAGTCATGTCACGCCTACAAATTGTGATCTCCATGAACCGGCTATCGATTATGTGCCGCTAGTCACATTTATACAAGGCCAGCTTGGCTGTTGTGTCGTTCCAGCAACTTCAAGGGTATTCTGACCATCATCTGTTGTCAGACAGATAACCCTAAATTTCAATATTGTATCATGTCTAAGTTGAGTAGTTTACAAGCAAGTAAAATGGGCTGATGCATGAAGGGCAATAACTTAGTCATGCAAATGTTACAATTAGCGACTAGACGGATGGTCAATTTCATACGCACATCTCCCTTGTTGTTTCACTCTCTCTATTGCCCATGATAATGTAACAGCCAATTTCAGAACATTGTATGGAACGGATATTTGAGCAGTTTGAATGGGAAATCTAATAGTCAGTCTATATTTGGAATTAGTAGGATACTCAAGATGTATATAGTACCTAGATAGATTCCTCATGGTAGAGGATAATCAATTTAATCAACTCTGAGAGAGATTCATATTAGTATAACTTTGCTTAACATCTGTGCAGCATGTACTAGCAAAAGAGAAATATTTAACCAAATGGTCTACTTCATGGTGCCTATCAAGTCACCTATCGCCATACTGCAAAATCAATCCGGATCCCGCTCTGCTTCATCATTATCAATTTTTTCTGCCTCTAATCGGGAAATTGAGAAGGCTACCTATAATCTTGATAGAAGACTGGCTTGAATAACTTAACATGGTGCTATTCCGCATAGAAGGGCACGAGCTAACTGATTATTGTTTAATGCTGCATCATTTGAGAATACTTTTGCATGAAAAGGCTAGATCAGATATTTTTCTCATATTAACCTAGCTTCGTCTACGAAGATGAGGGATTGTTAATGCGCTAGTGTTAAGAGGATTTTTAGCCTTCATATAATCAACTTATGAGTTTAGGTAAAATTACAGGGGTCGGATCACGCGGTTTTATCTTGTGGTTATGATTGATGATATACACTATTTATACATCATGATTTGTGACAGATTAAAAGTTATACAATTGGGTATCAAAATGATTTGAGGCGAATAAGTTCCATAAATCTTCTCATAACACGTTTCGTTAGCTGATGTTTTGTTTCATGCATTTCGAATAACTCATCGAATCTTCGTTTTTGCGGGTTGTGAGATTTTAGATGCACGCAGTGCGCCGGCTTGTGAGATTATGTTTATTTGTAATTCTAGCTTACCCGCGCTTGTTTTAGATGATCTGAGGGTTTGGAGCAAAATTTAGTCAAGGCGTCTCATTCCTAAGATTTTTATTTGGTTTAGCGCTTCTAAATTTGTTCCGTATATTTACGACGTATCCTGAGACGGGAGTATAATGAAACACTCATCGTCTTCGTCCATAATATGATGATCGGGAAATTCACCAAGTAACCCTGACTCTACCTCTTCCTCTCCTGTCTTAAAGATCTCGAGGAAATAGGGATCGCGTAATTCTGATTCGAGCTCGAACCTCTCAGGCGTGACTGTTGTGTCTGATCCTATTGACAGGCAGCTTACACTTCTGTTGGAGTTTCTTTGAGTATCTCTGGGTTTATGTAAATTAAGAGGAACTTCTCTACCTTTCGAGTATCCAATTGTAGACTTCGATATGACAGCAGATCTTATATGCCTCGTTTCAGGGTATGTCTTGCCACTATTTATGTGTTTTTTTGAGTGACAATTAGACTTAGGGTAGTATTTGGATAGAAAAGAGGGTGTCGGTGTCGGTAATTTACTTTTTCTTTGGCAAGGTCTATCTTCAGATGTAGGTGTACAGGAAAGTATGGCAGCAGCCCTACGGGCAGAGAGCGTACACAGTCCTGTACCAGAGGAAAATGGGCCAATTTGGCCACCTGCTACAAAATTTGTCAATTGACCTTGTGGGACTTTTTTTTCGGAGAGGACAGTATTTTCGAATCTATCATTCACGGTCCATTCCTCCTCCATCATTCGAAGGATAGCTTCGTCTACTTCCTTAATATCCTCTTGGTACGACTTGGCATTCTCTTGTTCGAGCTTTGACCGCCCAGATTCATCAATGATATGAGACAGATGGGATTTCTGAAGATCTCTTAAAATATTTTTTGTGTGTATGTTGGAGTAATCAATGCAATTATCAGGAAAAGTATCTGACTGGTATGGGAGATCTTTAGGTTTTGGGGGGCAATATTCAACCTCCCTTTCACGAAGAGGTTTTTCTTTCCCTTCGATCTCTAGATTATTTATGTTTACGTGTGTAACATTCTTGAAAATTTGTACTTTCGAAGGCATTTGTGGAAATTCATGCTCCTCTTTAGGTGGGGCAAGAGCACTTGGCGTTTGTAATACTTTAGCTTTTGCGTTGGTTGTCTTAGCACCAAGCGGCGCCCGAGTCCGAGGCCCTACTATCAGTTAACAGACAAATAGTGATTGGAATGAACGATTCTGACCAATCGGCGTTGCAAAAACATCTTTGTCGAATAATGCACTGTTTTTCCCATTGTTCTCAGCGTTTTCATTATCGTTATATTTCCCAAATTTTTTTCCGAATATAGTTGTTTGGTTCTCGTCCTGAAGAGGGTTTTGGAAGGAGGTCTTTGGATATCTGTTGTGAGGAGTCTTTGGATGGAGTCCTCTTATATTTCGGCCCAGTGATTTCGAAATTGGCATCTGATTCTGAACACTGGCCATATTTTCTTGGTCTAACGCAATTCTCATGTTTGCTGTCCTACGGGTTTGGTTCGAGAGGGCTCAATATTGTGAGGAAGAGTGTTATGGATGACAGCGATCTGGACAAGTTGATTAGGGTTTCTTTTTTGTTGTCAAGGCAACAAAAATGAGAAGCGGTGATCCTTGTCAGGTCATTCAACAGATGTCCCTTGCGTTGACCAACTTCGTGACCCTGCCAATTGCGTAAGAACGATTATCTACTTCACAAGACCAGTTAAAAGTTGAGAAAAGAGCCCCAAAACAGTATTCCTCAATCTTTGCTCATCGAAGGAAACTGAAAAATTGAAAGTCAGTCTCAATGGAGCGCATCAAGGAAGTAAGTTTATCCCACTTTAATAACCCCGCCACCTGGTGAGGAATCGTCAAAACAATTATATAGACGATGAATGACGATAATTACACTTGAAAGGTTACTGATTTTCATAATCTTACCAGAAACTAAATGCTCTCCGTATTGAGGCCGACGAAGCTGCACAGAAGGTCGAAGAGCTCCAAAAAGAAGTTAAGAAGCTTGAGCAGGAGAATCTTCAAAAAGATCATGAGATCACTTCGCTCGCACACAAAAATAATCAGCTTGAAGCCGATGTTGAGAAGCTTGAGGCCCAGGTAAAAGAGCACAAGGCAGGTGCCGAGGAAGGCTCTGGCGCAGTATCACAGAACGAAGCTTTACAACGCCGACTACAACTTTTAGAAGAAGAGGCTGAAGAGGCTGACAAGAACTTAAGAGAAACAAACGAAAAGTAAGCTTTATGTCATCCTATTCTTGGAAGGAAATATTCTAATAAGGTTAGACTACGTCAGACAGATGTGAAAGCTGGACATTTCGAGCGTAAGGTTCAAGCTCTTGAGAACGATCGTGACCAGTGGGAGCAGAAGTTTGAGGAAATGTCCAAGAAATATGCCGCAGCGCAAAAAGAATTAGACGATTTCCAACAGGAGATTGGTAATATGTAAATCCTCTATGTAATAGGATGGACCAGTATAGTGTAGATCAAGTCTGCCTTGATCTGATCAAAGCTTAAAGAAATAATTATGAAAGCCCAATTCCAATAGCATTGGTAACGTGAATTTACTTTCAGAATTATATTTTCAGATTGCTCTCATTGCCAATTACCTTATATCTGATGAACTAATTGAAGTTTTGTAACTCTGCCTCATCGCAAAACAGTTTCAGTGCTTTTCCTTTCGCGCATCTATTCGTTTCTTTTTTCCGACCTGCATCTTGGCCCTCGTCATCTTTCGTTCGGCTTTTGTTTCATACCGAAATTTCTTTTTGGCCTTCTTAGGCCAAGGGTTCTTCTTAGATTTCTCTATAGTTAGAGGGGTAGGGCCTGGCTTTACTACCTCGGCTTCGGTTACATTGTCTGGTTTTATTAACCCGCTTCTAGATATATCTACTGATTCAATTGTGACTGTAGTATACTTTTCTTCATCGACGTATTCTTCAAAATGATCAACGGACTTAGAAACAGGGGAGGTAGTTTCACTGCCACAATCCCGCACTTTTTCATCGTCAGTAGAATTATTAGCGCTTTCCATATCGCCAAGCATAGCATTCACTGTGTGGACATGTTCCTCTAGCTCTTGTTTCCGCGAATCTCGCAGCTGCCAATTGATGTATCAGTGATAATCTACGAGTAAGAAAAATATTTTTTTTGAGTTTAGCTTACTTTTTTCCGCATGAGGATTCTTTCTTCCCTGGCCTTCTTTCCTGCCTCGGCTTGCGCTGCCTTTATTCTTGCTAGTTTTCTCTTGTGAAATCCCGTTAAGTATTCCTCCCTAGAAATTAGATCGAAGTTTATTTCCTCTATCTTATGGTCCGTTTTCTGTTTTTTTCTCGAGGGTAAAATATTCTTTTTTGGCCTAGGATGCCGGAAGATCCCAGGCTCAAGCAGAGAATCCATTTTTATAGACAGTAGGATTTTATGCCAGTACTACGTTTTTAAGATTTGAGAGGTAGTCCGTGTAGTCTTGATGGATAAATTGAAAGTCTGTAAGGGATTATTTCGTTGCAAAGATCCCTCGTTCGGTGTTAGATAGTGATGGGCATCGGGCCGTTCACTGCACCAGTTGCTCCACCTTCCTAACTAGTTCTTTTGTTATGTGGGCGTTTATTGCCGATCTCTAAAACTTTATTAGTGACTGTCACGGTATCATATTACCGGTTAGCGTGATTTATGACTTAGCGATAAATACTTGTTGACGAGAGTTATGTCTGAATCGCATTAGTCCAAATTGTACCCCATAACATTAAATAACAACAGAGATAATTACCTAATCGACTCTGACCTGTGGCGCCAAGATAGAATTTCCACGAATATTGTGAAGCTTAAACATGCGTCTCGAACGAGCGCCTATATTGATGGCGATTCTAGGTGCTCGGGCATTTCAAGACGCATCTCCATTCCTCCTATTTTCAGCATCTCCGTATAGTCTTACTTCCTTCTAATTTGTCTTCATCTAGATGAATTAACGGAATATACAGATCATACGAAAATTTGGAAAAATATCCTCAGCAACAACTCCAGTCCCGTACTAAAGTCCTTGATACAACGAAGGCTGTTCTTTCCGATTGCTCCAGTGATGTATACTTTATCTTCAGTAAAGAGTCACTTTCAGCCCAGGATTTTTCAAAATGGGCGCCTAGCATAGATCAAGCATTTTCGAATCCAAGAGTAAGCTCTCGACCTCTTGTGTCAGAAGCAGTTGGACTCAAATCAAGAGATGGAGAGGAATTGGTGCGATTCCTAGAAGAAAATTGTGCTAGCACGAGGCTGGATGAGGTTTCTCTAAGTAGTATTGAAGAAAAGGATAAAGCAAGGAATCTTGTTGCTCTTAAACAACTGGACGAAGAAATCGGTGCAAATGGTACATGCCACAAATCTAAACTTGAGTATCAGTTTCCCTGCTAACAAAACGAAGATACATTATTTGCCAATCTCCTAGAAAGAATTGCAGATGGAAAAAAATATACTCTTGTCCTAATATCAACCCCTTCCTTCAACGACAAGCCTAAAGATTTACAAGAAGATTATTTATCAAACTTACCCCACACCGAATTAAAGCGCCAAATCGAAGCTCGTGCTCACAATATCTCTGCTAACGCTGACATGCGCCCACTATTTGAAAAATATCAATATCTCAGCCCAGGTATTTTCTGAGCTCAGTAAATTACAGAAAGCTTTCTAATAAAAATAGGGCTCTTCATAGGCATCATGGTTAGTATCTTATTACTAATAATTTTAGGCGTCGGAATAAGAGCCATAGCAAGTTTGGAAGTATCGTACGGGGCGTTTGAGAAGGATCTTATACAAGTGGCAGCAAAGAAGCAGTAGTTACACATAGCGCATATTCCCAGTTAAGAATACCGACACCAATATTGGAGGAAATATATGTAACTAAAATTGAAATTAAATCCAATTTTACTATTTTCAAAGCAGGGCCTTCACTTTAACCTATTTCCAACAGGCAAACTAATGAAAGAGCTCACTTGATTCACCGTAATTTTCTCTTGCACGATTTAGATCAGCGATCCAGTACTAATGACGGGCTAGGTGCGGGACATCATAATTGTTAAGACAAGGATATATCGCTTTCACATACCTGACCTAACTATCAACACCATGCTTTTGGCAGTAAAATTCACCAAAACATGATTACATGTGTCATTTATTGCACGTATACGATATTAACTTTATTAAACGCTATATTTGCTACTTTGATACGACATATCGGATCTGAGATGACAATTTTCTTCATAAAAGATACAGATTCGGCCAGGTAGGAATAATACAACATGTGTGTTCGTCACAATTTATTGAACTTACTACCTGAAAAAAACGAAAGATAGAGATCAAGAAACTTAATTTTCAACTACTTCTGCATCAATTCTGGCCCAGCACAACGAAAACTAGGTATTTGTTATACGCATCACCCTGCGACAAAAGGAACAACGGGTTTTAGTTATTACCTCATGTCTCATGAGAACAACGCGAGCAGAGAGTTTTGAAGTCGAACATGTAAGACTTAGAAAGGGTTTGGTATGAAAGTCACGTAAATATTCAAAAGGTAAGAGCGAATATAAGAATGAATAATGAATTACTTCAACGAGCATTCATATCCCGTAAAAGTAAATATATATCACTTTCTTCTTTTTCCATTTAGATTGAACTCTCCTACTTCGCTTCCTAATCTGGTCATTGTATCTATGATGGCCAAATCGCAAAATCTGCCTCCTATGGCCCAATAGGTCGCTGAAGAGCTTGAGCTTATACAGCATATGGCAAAGGGCCGAGCTACATGGGTCCAGAACTTCCACACCAAGTTTTGGGCATCTGTTGAAGAGGCTGATTCCCTCATCAAAACCTTTGTGCGCAAATAAATGGACGCGTTTCTTCTGGCGATCGCATCTGGGCACCCGATGCAGCAAGACAATCTCAAACAGCCCAAATTTCCGGGCTCTTTACCCAGGCCAAACCAAAATATTCCCTCATGGCTTTCCGATCCTGTGTCGAAGCATTCTAGGAACTGGGCAGCAACTGGCACAGCCCCACCCACAACCTCTATCCCGGCGCCGGCTCAAGCTAGGCCCGAAGCTACAAATCACTCCTATTTCACGTCTGTCCCAAAGCAAACTTCAAGCTTCAAAGGCCCTAGGGTTATCTTTCTCCCGATAGAGGAAGCTTCTCTCCCAAGAGCAGACGTAACTTCAGTCAGATCAGCTCTTATTCATATTGTTCCAAGTCTCAAGAATGGTTTAGCCTCCATTTCTTGCAGCTCAAGAGAGTGTAAAATCGCTTTTTCGCCTGACGGATCTCTTAAACTTGCGGTTGGACAACGCACATTTCATAAAGACATCCCTCTCCTGATCTCTTCTACCTAAAAACAATCGTTTTGGGGACGTTATTAAACAGGTCTCACGCACCATATGGAATCCGTTATCCAACCTGATCCCCACCACGCTCGACGACATCAACAGAATCGCCTGTTGTAATCAAGGCAGCAATATAACTGCAGTAGACAAACAGTTCATATAAGGATGATATGCACTTGCGTCATGAGATATGGTTAACCAATATCATCACTCATTGGCATGAATAATAGTTAGCCAATATATGCCGTCAAGCATCTATTGGCCTTAGAAGCTCTAACAACCTTCCCATTTAGGTTAGATAAGGAAGTATGTTGGAGAACACACAAGTGTGCGCAAAACTCTGCTTCTATATACACAGAGGGAATTCTCGCCACACATGTAGAATCATAGGACTCTAATTGCAATTAACCATCCATTAGACTTCAGAAAACTTCATTGTATTGCTAACTTATTCATCACAACTCCAACTCGTTCTGATACCCATAATCATACTTATATTTGGTGCGAAGGCTGTCAAGCCTAAGGATTTCTGTAGCCTACGCTGTCTAGCGCAAACAATTACACAAAGTAACTTCCTGGTAAGTTCTTGGATGACAGGGAACTTAGAAGTTTTACATTTAATCTTTTGGAAACATACTGAAAGATTATGAGAGTTACAGGAATACCACGAATCTTCTAGGTGATTGTCGAAGAGTCTGAGTATTCAAGTCGAAGAAAGAACCTTCTCGAAGGGGGATATTTCAGATTGTATATATAGGTAACTTTGATACAGCAATTCTCACATCAGAGAATTATAATTGACATACTTTACCTACAAGGCCGCCCATGCATTTTGAATTGAAACCGTGACAAATGGGGAGTCAATCTTACAATCTCCGGAACAAAGCAATTTCGCCCAGGCACTGATAGGTGTTGTTCTATCTGGTGCGCATTGATTATTGTACGAAGATAGCCATGTTTTGATACACAAAGCGATTATACTTTTCCCAAAGAAGGTGTCGACTTTTAGAAGCAATGACAGCGCTCCTTCTCTACGCTAATTTCCTAACCCGAAAGTAGTGCATTGCGATGCTCGCTTTGTGTTTTATCAATCCTTACACTGCCGAAATCAAGCTTTGTGCGCCAACTGCGGCACACTCCGCCACCACGGAGAGTACTGCGACCTTGACCGGTACATGGCCGGCACAGACGAATTCTTCACCTTCCAGTGGTGCCGGTGTAATCGTTCAGTATGTTCTGCATATCTGGGATAGCCAAGAAGAATCGCATCTGAATCGAAGTCAAAAACAACTTCAAGCACATCTCCATTTGACAACATCTCGACAATGCCTCTCTTACCATTCTCATCTAAGTCCTCAACTTCTCTCTAACCACGCATCATCTCGGCACGACGATCGATAAGGGCGTCACTCTAATTGCAAACAGGAGCTTGCCTCATTTATTACTGGCAATAACTCCCTACATATTTACGATGCTAAGTATACCCGCAGGGAGGAAGTTAATTCATAACATACAAAGTAGAGGTCTTGGTTTATGAGGGACTGATGCTCTAATGGGGTTACACATCTTGAAGAGGGACGTACGGTTGAGATGTGGAACGATAGGAGGAACAGGTCACTGGAGACCATGCTGGGACTGACATTTTCAAGGGGTTTTCAACTTTGGAATTCTTCTTAATGTTCTTATTTCAATACGTCGATCTTGAGTTAGCTGCTTGCGAACTTGAGTTTCAGAAGCAGACTTTTCTAGAGACATCGTTTGCTAGATAAGAAGATGAATTGATGGTGATGTTAAGAATCAAGGGCTTTTTTTTGTTCATTAACGTGCTGGTTATAGTGATTCCCGTTGCACTCCTACTGGAGCTTAAGCACGGGTAGGGCCGGGCCGCATCAGGTTAACTACCATTAAGTACATCTATCTCGTCCCACCTGGATGACCGGACCATCTCAGACTTCACCCATGTGTTGAATCATGTCAAGCCCAATCGTCCATAGAACCCTCTTTTGACGCGCTGAAGCGCTAATTCCTCCTTAGCCTCTGTCACTACGCACCTGAGCCCTTGACATCTTCATTGACTCCGGAATATAATTGCCGTCCAAGATCTCATTGTTACTCTAGCCTTGCGCCTTCATACGATACCGTTGGGTTGTTGTCGTCATTGGGGATTTGTGTAATCCCCTCAATGTATATCCCCTTTTCTTCCCCCTTTCTACTCGTCCCGTTTCCATCATGGCTTTCCTCATTAAGGTGTGTGTAGATAGGTGAATTGACGAGTATGTAAGTGGGTCGCAGGTTTAGAATCGACTGAGAAATACTTTGTCGCAAATACATATGGAGTTTGAGAGATGTCGGATGTTCGAATACGACCACCAAACAGACCTAGGTCTATTCGTGAAACGTATGTTAGTGGTGATGAGTTTTTTTCGACGTTGTTCCGGTTGTGAAATCTCTGTCGAATGATTTTTCGACCAAAATATCGAGTGCAACTCCTTCAAGTCGAAAATCCATCAAATAAAGTTCATTCCACCATTTTTCGTGACTGAATCTCGGCTCTAGAAGAACATTTCACTCCCAGGTTCGTAGAGGATACCACTGACAGTTGTTAAGCCTTCGTCCTCTAAATCAAGGGCTTTGTTAGTTAGGCAGTCAAAAGTGTTGTTTAAAATGTATTTCTCTAACCAATTGTTTGAAAAAATACGATTGGATCGCACTTCACGGTGAGCGGGGTAATGAGGAGAGACAGTCTAACCTATTTTGAGCTAGCCCAACTGCGCCTACAGGGTTAATCCCTTAAACAGCCAAGTTTCAAGTTTAACATTTCCTATCATAGAGCGATTGTACTGCTCACCATGAAGTCCGAGTGTGAGAAGCGTTAAATTACAACAGGGGCGATGTGTGGCAAATCTCTCATACCATGTATAGCACGCCTCTTACATTTACCATGTATTAAATTCCTGGAGCTGGGCTTCCTGGGCCCTGACTATTTCTTAGATATCGCTTTATAATTTTTTCAGGTCACACCCTCCAAGCTTGGTATGTTGATATCGATATTGGTCTCTTAAGGGGAGGTTTTTGGTCTATCTGTATTTAAGAACTTGGGAAAGACGAAACACCTAACTACGCAGATTGCCCGTTCCCAGGTACCATAGAAATCCAGTATGTCAGGTATCTGGCGGTCCTGAGGTAGATATTATAAAGCCTATGATTCCGTTTTTTGTGCTGGCAAGAGGCTAAACTCAAGCCAGCAAAACAGTCTTCCGGAGAATTGGACACATCTAAGTATCCCAAACAAAAATTCATTTGGTCATGGATTGACGTGCGGCGTTTTGGAGACAGCGAAACGACTAGGCCTCACTCTAAAATTAAATTTATTTGTGATGAGGTGGGTTAATAGAGGAACAAGTTTGGCATAAAGATGTATAGCAACTTGGTGCGGGTGAACATAAGCCCTAGGAGGTGATTATACGGGTCAGAATAAGCTTGTTTTTTCCAAAATATCTGTATTTATTCTAGATGATCATTTATAGAGACTAGTATTAACAATCCATGTTTCCTTTCTTCTATTTGTATAAGATGTTGAAGTTAATTTGTGAATTCGATCATTTTTATGATTATTCAGTATGCCATAGTGTCAGTGTAGTTGGATTTCAAATCAAAGGGACAGCGACAACATAAGGGTTCGAAAACAGAAGAACTTTTGTTATTTACATTATTCCGCGAAATAATGAGACTTTGTGCTTAAGCGTCTAGAGAGGAGTTAAATAAGTGGTTAATGGGTACTATTGATATTTATATATGATTTTTTGGGAATTGGAATTTGTTATTTGCCTTGCTTGATTGCAGAGCGCCAGCGAGAGAAAACTGAGTGTTGATGCCTTCGATTCTGTGCGTTGAATTCAAATTCTTTACTAAGGTTATCTGGTAACAAGTTGCTGAGCCCTGGCGAGATATAATCGTAGAATATGCGAGAAAATACTCCCAAATCTAATAAAGTAAGCGTTAATCGTTAAATAAGAGAATAAAAACTTACTCGGTACCACCTATTGCCGTATTTTGCGAGGACCTTCTCTTTGTTCGCGATCCAATTTCTATACCACCTCCATAATGTGGCTGAATAATGAACTCCAATGGTATCCACCATCTTGACCTCGAAACCAGCACCTTCGAGAGCACCAATGTAGTCTTTGAGAGGAGTTGAGGCGTCGGCACCAGGGAAAATATATTTGTTCATGAATAAGCCCCATATGAGATCTTCATATTGCCAGCTTTTCCTGAGTCCAGCGACTTGAAGGAGAAAGATACCATCATCATCTAACATGTCATACACTTGTCTCAGGAAGCCGGGTAAGTGTCTAATTCCGACATGTTCAGCCATTTCTAAGCAGGTGATCTTGTTGTACTTGACGTCGGAAGTAGGTATATCACGGTAGTCAAGGCAAAGTATCTTACTTTGCTCCTCAGATATTCCCGCTCGGCGAAGTCCATTATTTCCCCACGCCATCTGGTTTCGGCCTAGGGTTACTCCTATAGCTTTTGTACCATAATTCACACTGGCAAATTTGGCTAATGTACCCCACCCACATCCGATATCTAGTAGCCTATCATCAGGTTGGAGGTTAATCTTTTCACAGACAATGGCGAGTTTATTATCCTGTAGCTGTTCTAGGGTCTCTTCTTTCTGAATATCGGAAATTATACCCGAAGTATATACCATCCGCGGACCTAAGAACCATCCATAGAAGTCGTCACCCCGATCATAGTGGTCTCGGACCTGTTCTTCATCTACAATAGTTAATGATTTGATATTGCGTTAGAGATATTGCACGAACCTTGCGAGCGAGTATGCATAATTACTTCAGGTGCAAATTGGAAAAATACGAAGTGAAATAGACTAAGAGTAAATCGAAAGCTAGCCCAATCGTGTCTATACTCCATAACTTCTAAGCAGTCGCCGTTAAAATCAACTTGGCCATCGAAGTACATGTTATGAAAAGTTTCCATAGGAATCTTATTTATACCAGAATACTTAGCACGATCCGTTGGGGACTTAAAAGTGAGATAGTGTTCGACTGGATTACCAGGAACTTTCGCTTTGTCATTTTTTCGTGGGCTGTAAGAAGATGCTATGTACCAAAAACATATCAAAATTGGAGGTGTTGTAAAGAGACTGAAGAATATCGAGGTTTTCCAGCCGCCGCCGATCTTCCAAGAAAAATATGTTGGAACTCCAGCGAGAAATGAGAATAATACAACGTTAGAGAAACTGTCTGAGCCTGGTCCGTCTACTGGAAGCGGACCATTCTTGATAGATGGGTACTGTGGTCGTTGTAAGTAAGTCACAACCAGATGTCATCGCATAGAATCTGTAGCTTACCGACGTAGTTCTTACACCACAATCTTCAAATTTCTCAAAAGTTGGTGAAGGGGCTTTTGGAGTTTCGATAAACTCAAACTCACTTTCTGAACCATTTAGGCTCTGAGATTTGGAGGCCATGGTTCGTTTCACGTGAAATAGACAAATCTACACCACTTTATTTAGAAGTAGCGTAGCCGGTGTTTGTGAGGCAGATAGCTTGCCTTCGAACACCCGGTTACTCGACAAATAGGTTTATATTTGTTTTTTTCTTCTACTGGCACGTGATTACCTGTCGATCTCTGCATATTCATGGCAGAGCTTGTGATCCATAAGACGTCGATCGCCCCCATTGTCTTTCCTGTAAAATACCTATATCTGAGTAACACATTTACATAGTTCGCTCATTAATACGGATGTAAATCAGAGCACCCCCATGGTTTGGGTTGGTTTATTGATTAACGTGCTAGGCAAAGTGACTGCCGTCGCACTCCTAGAGCTTAATCACGGGTGGACCCGGGCCGCATCAGGTTAACTACCATTAAGTACATCTATCTCGTCCCACCTGGATGACCGGACCACCTCAGACTTCACCCATGTGTTGAATCATGTCAAGCCCAATCGTCCATAGAACCCTCTTTTGACGCGCTGAAGCGCTAATTCCTCCTTAGCCTCGGGCACTACGCGCCTGAGCCCTTGGCACCTTCGCGATCTGTAGCTTTTCCCTTCCCTTCCATTCAGTCCCAGCTTTGGCTCATCTCAGAATCTCCTCATCTCATCCATGGGTCGTTTTCTTCATTGGAAGCACCCCCATGAGTAACGACCCAAGTAAATGGTTGTGACTTGGCGCACATAAAGGGGTATACACTTCCAAGAACTCAATACAGCAATCAATGTTTATTTGTGTTATTTTAGGTCTAATTAGAGTAAGCCTTAGCCCTTTGCTCTATACACCCACCGGGTAAAGGACGCCGCAGCAATCGATGTAATATGGGGACAAGTTGCCTGAAGTGGTGTAATTTAGATCTACTTCACGTGTTTGAGGCTATAAAAAATTAGTAATTCTTTATAGAAAGAGTTCGGAGTGTTAAGCTACAATTCCCAGTGAGCATTGAGTATATTACAGGCGAAGTTGGTAAGGGCCATTGCACATAGATCAAATTTATTCGCATCGCATGAGCTACTGCGAGATTTGATCTGCGATAGTACCACGGTGTCAAGTTTATAGTGGGGCTTCTGCAGGGTTTTTAGCGTGCAACTTAAGACTCCTTAGGCATAGTCACATTCCACGTTGGGGTTAGCCCCCATAATTGTGCAAATTTTCGAAAAAATTTGTATAGCAATTTTTTTCTGGACACCTTAGTTTGCAGTGGGTCTTTCCCTTGTACTAAACCTAATTGGTATAATGATCGGCTGCATAACGTTTGTGCATTTTTGCTACTTCACTTTATAACTTATTCACAAGAGTACAAAGGTTTTCAAATTACAAAATAGATGTGCAGTGAAAAACAAACCAAAATGACACATTCAGAGATAGTGAAAGTTATGGCATATCAAGAATGGGCGAAATCCTGGGCCAAGCAGAAACAAACTCAGAAGCCTCGGCAGTTAGCAACTGCAGATCCCGAATCTTGGAGAGCAGCCACATTTTACCAATGTAGAGAGTCTGGACGGCAAAAATTGAGTCTTCAAGGCTCACCATTCTTCGTACACCGTAACCTGACAAGGGCCCAAAGCAGTTTGGCAATGCAAATACGAAGTGAGCACATGGGGCTTAACTCGTATTTACACAGAAGAAACGTACCCGGAGTATTAAGTCCAGGTTGTCCATGCGGCTACCAATTACAGAACCCTAAGCATATGATTATGTTTTGCCCCCGATGGTCAAATGGTAGAACTGAGATCTGGAAACAAGCCAAAGAACGATCCTACGAAGCGATGATATACAATCCGGGAGATATAAAAAGGATAACACAGTGGACCCTAAACCATTGTTGGATAGAGCAATTCCAGCTGGCCAAAGCGGTCGAAATACTGCTGAGGGAAAGGGAAAGGTCAATTAATGCTTAGGGCAGATAGATATGACCTGGTTAGTTTACATGGATGGCACTACAGTGTAACTGCGCTTCCTGAAGAAAACTTGTGAGAACTCTAGACAACAAACAGAAAGATGTGGGAGGTTTTCACCATTAAGGTTTCCTCCCGGGTAAATATAATAGACTGTAGACACCTGCATGGGCCTATAGGGCGCCAAATCAGGATAATGAAATCAAAATCAAAATCAAATTACAAAATAGAGCCACAATCTTATCCTAGCCTTGGATCTGAATATGTGGCTGGAAATTTTTCAGGCCTTAATATCTGGTCGGTCCCCCATCTGCTTCTACCACAGCCTGACATCTTGCTGGCATACTCTGAATGAGTCTCACAAGATCTTCGGAAGACACGGAATCCCATGCCTTCTTTACAATCTTGTGAAGACTATCTTGTATTTGCTGCTTTCCGCAACCCAGATTCGGATGATGACGCTGGATGTAATCCTTCATCTTCTTCCAAACAGCCTCAATCGGGTTAAGATCAGGCGACTTGGCCGGCCAGAAAATCGGTTAAACAAGCCTCTGTCTCATATCATCCATTGTACTTGCTGCTGTGTGGGCAGGAGCATTATCCTGCATTACGGAAAGCCAAGATCTCATCGAGACTATGCTATTGATAAGTGGAACTATTTTCTCACAATATTTTTGGGAGTTAATAGATTCCCACTCCTTCTCCCAAATTAAACAGGGGCATTATTCTGGCCCTGCGAAGCAATCCCAGAAAATCCAGCCGACCCTATTCTTCGACTTTTATCCAACACAATCAGCGTCGTATTCTTGGGAATTAAAGCTCATAATTTAAGAGCATCAAATTACTATCTTCTTATAGAGGAATGTACGAACACTTCTTATCACCCATTCTCTACGTGTCTCCATGGTTTTTAGATATAATGGAGGCTTTAGACGAGCCACATGTCGTTGATATCCTCTTTTTTTAAGTTCTCTTTGTGTTACCCGCTCGCTAACACCACGAGGTCTAAAGGGGTCAAAGGCGAGTTCCAGAAATGTTTTGCGGCGGTTTGCAGGTGAAGACTCGACGTATGATATAATCTGATCAATATTGTCTGCTTTCAGTCTTGAGGATGTTCTTTGTCTCTTTTTAGGGGAGACTGTTCCGCGGCGCAGTGAATGACTAACTTGTCCCCGAGAAATGTCAAGTTAAGCGGCAATGTGCGTCTGGGTTTTGCCAGATTCATGGAGCCCATAAACCTTAATTTTTCTTTTAATTTATTTTTGTTCATTTCTAATTTTTCTACTTACTAAAATGTTTTGATCTCTGGATAATTGTTTGATTCGAGGTGTTGAAGGTGGGGTTTCAGGTGGATTCATCTGTGAAATATGGTTATTATCGAGTAAAGCCATGTGTCTTATGAATAAATAATTTTGTATTTGAGAAATCTAACTCATGTTGTCACTCAAGCACAAGATGAGTAGTATTGTGTAATTTCCAGCGGTCGGCGGTCATAAAAGTGATGGCAAAGAGCTAGAGAACAGGTTGGTTGTGCATAAAACTCAGGGTGACATGAAATCGAATTGTGCCCTTTGTTTAGGCCTTGAAATCGAGGACAAGAATTATGTACCCTGTCGAAATGGGCGCTAACAGGGGCATATCCCCTGAAACAAATCTGCGCCCCATTTAAATCCACTACAAACTTGAAATCGTGGCACCACAGTGTGCAAGTATGAGTTCAACTCTATTGCAGTTGATTGCTGTACGTTGGAGTATTGAACCCGAACTCCTCGCGCGCGGGTATGTCTATCACATTTACTAAAGTACAAAGCATGTGTCCGGATACTTAAACACGGTGCAAAGAACGTAAGCTGTGTGTCACGTTTCTACGGTTGTGTTGGTGGATCTTGTCTATTCTCCTATTCTACAAAAAGATACTAATACTCATAATGAACGATGACTAATCTATGACTAATATTGGAAAGTGAGGCCATGACATTAATACCAACATTATGTTACACTTCCCTGAGAGCTAGACTCGAGCACAAACTTATTCCACTTGTCAGCTATCTTACAGCAAGATTAACGTCGATTGCGATGATTGCCATTTCATCAATTGTAACGAATATTTTCTTCAAAACTTCGGATCCTATGCTTGTATCTATTTTTTTAATTCATTTTATTGTCCTGTCTGAGTTTTTTTTTTAAAACATAGTGTATTCAGCTATCTAGCTATGACACATCTTTTCTACAATTCCAGTTCCCAGAACTCCTACATTTCAACTAACTCAATAATCAATTCATAAAATTCCCATTTAGATATCCTAATTTAATTTCCTTTATGTGCTGCCATGCACTTGGATGTATCCAAATATTTGAGTAATGCTTGTTTTCCTTTTCTAGTGCAGAACAGAATTGGAAGTATCCTTGGCTCTATGCCTGTAAAACAATTGTTTCTCTGCTTTGTAAACTTGGGGCAATGTAACAATAGATGCTGAACAGTTTGCCTTTCTCTCCCACAAAAATTACACATATTGTCTTGAACTTTCCCAATCATGTGCAGGTAGACTCTTGTGTTGCCAACACCAAGTCTTGCTTGGAAATATCCACATTCTGTCTCTCTGCTACATCCCTAAAAATTGAATAGTTTTGTGTTGAAATTGGGATAGTTAGATTGTGCCTGGAGCCTGTAATATTTTCGGAGTCCTTTTGTCAAACATCTGATGGTTTGGAACCTACTGAATATGGTAATGAGAATCATTGGATAGTGGGATGACACATCTTGTCAGATTAACTAACTCGAGCTTTGATATCTCACCAGGGATATGGTGATCAGGATGACTAGGATGTTCAAGATGATTAGGATGTTCAGGATAGTCAAAGCTCTAACATGAGATCTTTTGATCTTCAACACATGTAATATATTTCATATGTAATTTTGGGAAACGAGGAGAAGATAATCTCTCCTCGAAATAGTTTCAGATGGGTATATAGCATCAGTGCTGGAGAGGAGTTGAGGAGCAGAGATTTCATCAATACCACTTTACTTTACATTTTTCATTTGACCCTCAGTGTCTAACACCTTTAGCCTTTCG